AATTTTATGAAGCTTTGATTATCAGCATCGAAAACTGTTGGTTTGATGACTTCTTGGTGAATGTCAAAAAACAAATTTTGCAACCAGATGGCTTCCTTGGTGGCTTCTGAAGCAGCGACGTATTCAGCCTCAATTGTTGACAGTGTAACTATTGGCTGTCTCTTGCTTGACCATGTTATGAGCTGCATAACTTGTATATATAGCCACTTGTTGAACGTCTTGTTAGAGTATCACTAGCATAGTCAGAGTCAGTAAAACCACACAGGTGTTTCCCTTTTTGTTAAAATCAATGCCATGATTTTGTGCTCCTATAGGGTATTTAATTATTCGCTTGACTGCATTCCAATGGGCTGAGTTTGGACAATTTAGGAATTTGCTTGCCACTCCCACCGCAGGGGAAATATCTAGCCTTGTAACAGTGGCTAGAAAAATCAGAGAGCCCACTGCTTGCCTGTATGTAACTTCACCATCTACCAGTTCAGTTTGGAGTCTTTCATGACTGCTAAGTTTGTATTTGGATCTTCTGGCATGCTCATTGGTTTGGCATCTTCTATTGCAAATCGTCTTATTTCATCTTTTATATAGCTTGACTGCTTTAAGAACATCTTGCCTTGTTTTAATTCCGTTCTTATTTCAATACCAACGAAATAATTTGCTTCTTGTGCAATTTTAATCTCAAAATAATTATTCAATTCATCTAAAACTGTATTAATCGATGATGTTCGAGATAAGAATATCAAACCATCATCTACGTATATCACAAGCAGGACTTTTATATCTTTGACTTACCCTGTGTAGAAACATTTGTCTGCTGTCGAAGCTTCAAAACCAGAGTTTAGTAGAAAAGTGCTGAATTTCTTATTCCAACATCTTGGGCTTGGTTTCGAGCCATACAATGACTTTTCTAGCTTGCAAACAAAACCTTCTTTGCAGTCCATTCCAGATGGTGGTTTCATGTATATATTTTCCTTGAGTTCGCCAAAGAAGACAGTTTTTATGTCAAACTGCTCAAATTCGTAATCTTTCATATTTGCAATGGCAAGCAACACTCTTATTGAATCACAAATCTTGTTGTTAGAGCATAAATCTCATTATAATCTAGGCCCTCCTCTTGTGCATAACCTTTAGCACATAGTCTTGCCTTGTGTGACGTCTTGATTTCTTTTAACTCGAAAAACCCACCTCGAAACTATAGGTTTCCTATTTTCTGGAGTTTTTACCATTATCCATGTGTTGTTCTTAAACAAAGCATCATACTCTTCATTGATCTTCTCTTTCGATTTGTCACTTTTCTGTGTCTGGAATGTCAATTTCTACAAAGTTCAAGTGAGAATCGTGAAATCTGGCAGGCTGTGGTCTACGATCTGGCATTTCACCGTTCTCTCCAACATGCTCATAATTTTTTTCTTGCTCGATTTCTTCCACTTCTTGTCTCGCTTCTTGTTCAACCTGATTTCCAACTTGTAATTCTACTTCGCCAAAATCAGTGACGTCATCATTATCGAGTCCTATTTTCACTGTGTTTGGCTTGAAACTACTTTGCCTTTTTTCATCAAACATCACATTTTTTGAAATAATAACTTTTCTTGTTATGGGATTAAAAAGTCTAAGGTATGGTTCGAAGAATTTTATTCATGTCCAATGAACATGAGTTTTTCGCTTTTTGTGTCCAGTTTCCTACGCTTTTCATCTGGCACATGCGCCTATGGATCACAACTGAACACTTTCAAATGGTCAAGTGCTGGTTTTTGTCCACACCATATTTCGTATGGCATTTTACCTGGGGCTTCCGAAGTAGGCACTCTATTAAGTATGCAAATAGCAGTATTAACTGCCTCAGCCCACAAGTATTTTGGAGCACTTGACTGGTATAACATTGACCGTGCACTTTCAACAATTGTCCGATTGTCTGCGGTTACCTCATGTTCTATACCTTCTTTGCTTAAGTAACATTTGAACTCATTGTTGAGGTACTCGGTACCACGGTCAGTTTGCAAAACTTTTACCAAATGTTCAATTTTGTTTTAGTTTTTGCATTATAGTTATTAATGATACAAGTTCGTATGTAACGTTAAACCACGAGGCGTTAGCCGAGTGGTTTAGTTATACAAGTTTCATTAATAAAGTTCATATCGAACGTGTATCATTCAAAATTTAATCTACGATGGTTCAAATAGATTTGATTTTCCTTGAAATAGCAAATACTTTTCAAATTAAAATTCAAAGTTTAGCAGGTGCCCGTACTAGTCGGAAACCTGCTTGTTGATTTTTAGAATTTTGACTTTGGCAGCTTCGATATTGGAGTCAATTTGGGTGCCATAAATTCAGTTTTATAGTGGAAAATAATGTTAAGAATTGGTGATTCTGAGTTCGAAAGTGTCCGTTCGAATATCGAGACAGCATCAGTGAAAAGGTTCTTCTGATAACTAGCTTTCTTTTTGTATATTTTTCATTTTATAATTTGGGTGTTTTTATGAATTCTTAAACGCACTAGTGCTATTATGAAGGACCTAATGACATTCAAATGACAATGCTAAATGTGTCATAATGACACCGATGTAGATTAAAACTCTTAAAGCACTCATAAACGTCCGATTTGTGCTTACTGAAATATAATACACGATAACCACTCTTTTCATCTTTGAAAATTACAAAGTATCTCATTCCTTGTAACGAAGGAGTTGCAATGGGCCCGCGCCCATCACTGTAGATTCTCTCACCGATCTCTAGTTTCACATGTTCTTGATTCTTCTCAAAGGGCAGTTTATGCTACTTACCCATCAAGCAAGAATCGCAGAAAAAGATTCTCAGTATCACTTAACTTTACACTTGCGACCAAGTCCTTCTTGGCCATTTCCACAATCTGGCCACAACGTTCATGCCATAATTCCAAGTTGTCAGAATCTTTTAAATTTGCAGTGTAGATCATGGTTCTGAATAGCATGTTATAGGTATTGTTCGAGTCTTTTACAACTGTTGCTACAAGGTTCGAACCTTCAAAAATCTTTGCCTCTTTTCCAAATTTAACAATTCTCATTTTCCTATCTGTAAGCACACCCTCAGAAAACAAATTCTTAAGTTGTAGTATATATAATAGGTACATCATTAATTTTTGAACCATACCACTTACCATGAATCAGCTTCTGTATTTTTATCGTACCTTTTCCTTCATAACACTGTTTGGTTCAACTTGCATTGAACGCTGTCTCGTTTCTGTCATTTTTGGGATTTTCTCGTTTCCTGTGGTTTTCATCTTGCTTATTTCTCTTTTCTTTGCAGTATTTTGAGATATGGCCTCTCTTTCCACAATTATAACATAGAGCACTTCTCGGCTTATCATTTGCTTGCTTTTTCTTATTAAAGGACTGCAAAAGCTTATTCGTTTTCCTCGTAATTCTGGAGGTTACTCTCTTCATCTAAAAGTCGAGCTTTCAAATTATCAATTGTTTATTTGGTGGGATCTAATGACAACCATGCTTGCCTTACATTCCTATACTTAATAGGCAAGGTAAGTTTCGTCATAATTTCCATATTACTTATGTCGTCACCTGCATTTTTTATTTGTTTCGCAAGATTCTGCATCTTCAAGACATGCTGTGCTAGTATCATTTGTAGCCATCTTATACTGGTGAAAACGCTCGAATTCAAAGATTGACTCTAAAATGGACATACTTAACATATTTTGCATTTTCACAACTTTCCATCAATGTTATTTGATCAACGTTCATGGCTGCGATTAGTACAAACATAGCTTGAGCATCTTTCTTGCACCATGTTGTAAGCTCATCAGTTTGGGAGTTGTTAGGCCTTGGAAGAGTTCCATCTATTACTTCATAAATACCGTTAGCCTTTAAGGCGTCTTTGATCTGAAATTTTCATTGCCTAAAGCTGGTTCCATCAAACTTATTGACACTGGAAACGTCAACTTTATCAGTCATTGTATGTCTCAACTGGAACTCACAATAAACGACAAACGTTTTCGCAGTTTCCGTATTGCACTCGTAGTAGGAACACACCCTAGTACAGTCCTTTCCAGTTTTTCATAAAAGTTTTTCCAGGGACAAACCCCAAACGTTTAATACGCGTTTTTATTCCACACGCAAACGACTTACACTTTCCGAGCAAGCGTGACTGGGCCCATAACCTGTTATGAACAGAGTACGAAGTAAAATGCCCCTTTATGCAAACTTGGATCGCTTTTAATTGTGGAAGAAACGGAAAAACTAATATATAAAATATGAAGAACATCAACTAAGTAACTATCACTGGCGTTATGGCAACTGTCTACTAACAAAAAAAAAAAACAACTAAAAATCACAACCGACGTGCCAAACAAAATTGTACAGCAGTCCATATTTAAATATTAAACATCACAAATTTTTTTATAGTAATACTTTTCCGAGGGGTTTTTGCACTGGCGGCTGCTCTGGGGATGTCTTTCGAGACGATGAGCTCTGCTCTGAAAGTTTTGTTGTATTCCACTATTCGCTGAGATTATCAGACAGCTTGTAGTCTTCACGCATCTGGATCATCTCTGTCTTCATTTATTTAATTTCCTACATCGTCTCCCATGTAAGATGTTAGTCATTTTTTTCGCCCAAATCTACGGCTCTAAAGGACCTTCAGTTGACTCCGGCGATAGAATAAAAATAAAAAGCTCTACTGACAAGTTTAAGGCTATGCCACAAAGAACATTATTATAAATCTTGTGTAGATCTCGCCCTCTAATTTATTGGATTTGCTTTGGAAGGACCTGAGATCGCTGCGAAACTCGAGAAGTAGGTATTAATAGGTTTGGATGTGTTTCACTTTTTACCAAGGCAATCATCAGCCAAATTTTCTACCTAAACAAAAATGACTAATTTTTTTTTAAGAACTGCAGATTGTGCTTAGTGAAGTTTTAAGAATGGTTTTAAGAATTTTTTTCCTATATTCTAAGTAAAACTCAAAAACATATTATATAATTAAAATTCCAATATTTACTAATAGAAATACCAAAATATTAAACTAATAAAAAATATATTTATTATCCAGTCGCTTAACATTAAGATTTTTCTAATGCCCTTTAAGACTACATATTAATATTACGCTGCTACGGATCAATTCGTTTTTTTTAAAAATCAACTAATCAATTAGATAAAAAAAGTATTTCTAAAAACTAAACACTCAAACACTATGGAGGCGGAGGCGGACTGGAATCTTCAGAGTTCGTTTCGGGTATATTTTTCATTTTCTCATTCAAGCTGTTACCCAATTTGGCAACGCTCTCGGCCAAAGCGAATCGGCTCATCAGGAACGCTTGAATGTTCGGTACGCCTATTTGGTTCGGGGCCCACGGGAATCCCAACGTTGAATTGCCGTAAACTGGGGGTATTTGAATTCGCGGCCAAAATGAATCACTTATTGATGGTATCATGTGCATCGGGTAATCTGATAGGCCTTGTTGTTCTGCGTGCATTAGAGCAGTGGTTTCTCGCCCTAGGGATTTTTCTCGTTTGCGCCATTTTGCTCGACGATTTTGGAACCAAACCTGTGAAAAAGAGAGACCAGTTAATTAAAGCTTGGCAACAAAATCTTATAAAATATACAGCAATTCTGTGTGATGACCCGGGAAAATTAGACCCGTAATTTACAATGTCTTAACTTTAACAGTAAAAATTATATGTAATCAAACAATCAAAAATTGAATTTCCAGTATTTCAAATCAGTATCAATAAAACTGGTAAATGATGAGACAAATTAACGTTAACACCAAATTAATTAAAATATATAAAATACGTTCAATTTCTAATAGCCAGTCATCAGGCGTGTGTCATCAAGTTAGTTGAACTCATAAATCAAAACCCGGAAAAGATAAAATACAAGGTTAGGTACCTAATTAAATTCGGTCCCAAAATGACAAAAATTTCAAAAGATCGTATAATTTATTGCCGGCACGAGTGTCGAATGCGGTTTTTTCCTTGAATTAAAGTGTCCTCTACATTTTTTCCCATTCCATTGACCCCAAATAATCATACAATTTCGACGCAGATTTCATCATCATCTTTGAGCAATTTAAAATTTTTGGAATAATATCTAGGTCGACCAATAGAATCGAATTATAGATGGTCAAACGACCGCCCATATTGTCGATTCTGGTGGGTAAATAATAGTATAAAAGGGGCGGTCGTTCAAGTAGAAAATAATCTTCAATCAATTATCGAGAATTAAACTCAATAATTAGTAGTAATCAAAAGTGGCGAATTATCTCAAGTATAAAAAAATCGGGCCTCGGAAATGTAAAAATTACAATAAATAACTCGAATTACGAATGAAGTGAACCTTTCAGTTTTTATGTGCGTGCTCTAGCTATTTTGAGTAAATAATAATTAGGATAATTAAGTGACCTTTAAGGGCGAAAAGTAAAATGTAAGAACTCTAGTGACAAGTTTTATTTTTGACTTTATCAATGATGAAAATGACTATGAAGTGAATTGACTTTGAAACTTTATTGCATAAATATTATTAACTTGAGTGAATTGACTATGAAACTTTATTGCATAAATATTATTGAGTTGAGTAAATTGACTTAGAATATTTTACTGAAGAGTTTGAAATCGAAATTAACTGTTTTGTCCCGTCTAGAAAATGATTAGTCTGATAATTTGGTTTTTAATTAATTTAATTTAGATAAAATGTTCATTGTTTTGTTATTATTTACTCTGGCTAAATACACTAGTTTGAGTATAAGTATTGTACAAAATTTGGCGGTAAGCAATTTCAGGAATTTTATACGCTTATAGAACAGGAAGTTATAATAATTACACTTAATTATGAATTATTGTTTTGAGGTGTAAAAGGTGTTTAGGATTTATAGTTATTTATGTATCAAGGGTACTAAGTAGATGATTATGCCCTGAGGGCGACAGCCTTACAAAGCCGAGGGCCTCTGGCCCGAGGGTTCGTAAGTCCCCCGAGGGTATATATCTATTAGTACCCGTGGTGCATACAAACTTTTATGTCATACCAAGGGGACTTTATTTGAAATCGATGCAACTTTGCGTACGCGCAAACGACGTCATTTGCGGCGTAATTGTTAACCTGATGTTTAAAATGGTACATTATGCCCGCGCGGGCCAGAATGTGTACTTTATGCCCGCACGGGCATAAAGTGATTAATTATGTAGATGGTATCTAAGGTATAAAAAGACAACAATGTACTGGTATGACATGAAAAATATTATGCCTAACGTAGTAGGGCTATATGAAGGACAAGGCTTTTTAATTGCAACATTTGATTCATAAACTCAGAAACAGTGTAGAGGTGGCTAGACCATTGCATCAATTTAGAATTATTTATAATTATTAACGTATAACCATAAAATCAGTTTATTTCTCTCTCTTGCAAATAGGCCCGCCCCCACAATTTTATTTTTCAGTAGCTGCCCAAGGAAATAATTACCATCGAATACGATACCGCTCGCACTTTACCATCTAACCTAAATAATAGAGTACTTGGCGCGGATGCTACACCTGAAAGAAAACAATTTAATAACGTAATTTTTGTTATAGGATTTAAGCTCATGTGGGTTTAAAAAAAAAAACTCAAACCTCAAAAGTCGAGTTTCAAAAGAAACCATTGAACTTGTTATAATAATAAACTTAAACCCACAAAGTCTGTCAGGGTACATTGTTAAATTGCCACGAGCAAAATATTGAATACCCAAAGAAGGAAAATTGTTTTCTTTGAGCGTCTGGAGAGATCAAATTTTCAGAAATTATTATAAATGGATAACGGCATCGTGTGTACAAACTAAAAACAGATTTTCTTATTGATTTTTAAAGAGTATTGAAGTTCTTAAGATAAGGTAAATTTTAAAATTTTCTAGATAAATCCCGAGTACCTACACTGTCTGCTATAAATAGCGCGTAGTAGTAGCTTAGGGTACGCACACAAAGAAAGCAGGTTAATCAGCGCCTATTTCCGGCGCCGAAAATCAGCACCTACAAGTCATTTCACTAGTACACAATGAACGCCGGTTTTCGGCCAGTTTAGACGCAATTTCCATACCACAAAGATGTCTAGTTCATCTTCAGATGAAGACTTTTTATTGACGGAAAGTACATTCCTAAGGATGATGCAACGCACGGAGCAAGGTATACATCCAGTAGATCGTGAACGAAAACTTTATGGTGAATATCGCCATTTATTCCTTCTGCACTATATTCGTGTTGCTGTGGGACTTAAGTCGTTTATCCCACAATGCATTTCTTTGAAAAATCGCAGAAATCAGTAATTTGACATCCATTATCGATGCAAGTCCAGCTCCGACCAGCGACCAAGAACTAAAAATTCATTCCGGTAAAAAGTCGGCGCCGATCTGCACTAGCAACAAGCACTTATCTGCTTTATCTGTGTGCGGGTTCATTTAAACGTGGATTTAATTATTGGTGCTTATAAGCGCTTGTTACCAGCAAGCAGGCAACCTGCTTTCTTTGTGTGCGTACCCTTAAGTGAGCTAGTTTCAATTCGATATTTTTTCGTGTAAGTTTCGAATAGTGATAAGTGAATTTTATAAAGTCAATTAGTTTAATAAAAGTTGTTACTGTTTGTGTTGATGGGTTTCAGTGAACCCAAAATCTGGAATCCAGCCCCCACTTCAACATACGACGACGAGAGCATCGAAATATTCTATGAAGATATATCTAAAGCTATGGAAGAACATAAAACTCGCCTTACTCCTAGTAATGGAAGTTTCAATGACAAACTTGGTAAGAAGCTGATTGGGGAAACCTACGTCCAAAGATGGACTGAAGAAGACTGAATAGATAGAAATATTCTTAATAATACTTCTACTCCTTTAGGCCAAGCGCCCAAATATAACACTTGGCTTTTTTAGAAATAGTGTCTTAACTTGTGTAATTTAAACTATTTCGAATAATTAATGTTCATTATGTGTCATAAAGTAGGGTTCTCACTTTAATTAGAATTTTATTTTATTCGATAATAAATTAAAGCATTGATATTCTAATCCCAAAAGAAGGATTTATGACACTATTTGAAACAAAATTCATTAATAAATCCGCGAAACGGTATAGGCATTCGTTCCGCATAAATACGTAATTATGACATTAAAAATCCGTCTTTTAAATAAAATATCGAAATTTCCTTTGTGCGAAGCATTCAGCCGTCTTTAAATCGTCGCTGAAAAGGCAATTATGAAAAGAGACAGCCCTCCATCATTATATACGTTAGCAGTGAGGCACTTTAAATGAGACATCAGAGAAAATCTAGTGCCGGATCCAGTTCCGATTACCTCCATTGTGGCGAACAATGGGCAATTGCGCTCCCACTTCAACAGCTACAAGGCAGATTAATTATCTAAATTGTTACCAATTAAGTTCGAGTTAATGTCCATCATTAGTCGGGTATTAGGTACCGAATAAAACGCCTAATCATATAAGACTATTATGTTCGAAATTTCAAAACGCGCCATGCCAGGGCGAAAAGGGTATTAAGTAATATTACCAGTTTGAAACGGAGGGGTTGCCTTTTTATATCGGGATTGCATTAAAATCGATATATGTGCCGAGTTAATTGAATTTTATTCTGCCTGATGCATGATGATTGACTAGACCATAAAGGGTCAATCATGGAATATTACTCCTAAATGTTTCAGCAGGTTTTAATTTTAATATTCGAAGCGTTAGATAATAGAGACATTTTAAGTCTATATTATTCTGTCATGAGGAAAAATTCTTACCGGGGTCAAGTCACAATATGATGCATGACGGTCAATTCACATTCTGAGGTAATTCGATCATAAAATTGTATTTCATCGACAAGGTGACCATGTTCTTCTTCTTAAGGTGCTTTATCCAATAGTTAATGTTGAAGACAATTCTGGAATATTCGTTTCGATCTTGCCCTCTTCCAAAAGTGCATGGACGTCAACGTTTGTCCAGTATAATGTTATGTTCTTTAGCCACAAATATTTCTTCCTACTGATGCATCTCTTTCCCTCAACATTTACTTCCATCATCTACTTCAGGAATTGATACTTGAATTTCTGAAGATATGACCCAGATATGCAGCTTTCCTTCTTTTTAGTATCTGTAACAACTCTCTCTTTCTGTCTCTTCCTATTCTATTCAGAACTCCTTCGTTCGACACATAATCCGAAAACGGAATTTTTAGCATTCTTCTGAATACTCACGTTTCAAAGAATTCCAGTCGGTCCATGATACTGGCCAGTATTGTCCAGGTTTTCACTCCGTACAGTAGCACGGAGTAAATGTAGCATGTTACAAAACGGTACCGTGATGTCAAGTTAAGACTGTTGCTGCTGAGAACAGCTCTTATATTCATAAATGTTGCCCTGGCTTGCTTAGTGCTGCCAGGTATTTCTACGTCTGGATCTAGATCTGCAGTTACCCAGCTTCCCAGGTATCTAAGCTTTGCGACTTGCTGGATTTTCTCGCCATTCACTGTATTCAAGTGCACATTTAGTGTTCTGCTAACTTCTGCTAAACATCATTACTCTCGTTTTG